CTTGGGAAGATCCCACATGCCGCGGAGCAGCTGGGCCCGTGAGCCATGGCCTCTGAGCCTGCACGTCCGGAGCCCGTGCTCCACAAGGGGAGAGGCCACAACAGTGAGAGGCCCGCGTACCCCAAAAAAAAAAAAAAAAAAGGCACCTCAAACTCAGCCTGTCCACACTCAAACCCGAGACCTTATTCCTCACGCCTGGTCCTTCGCACTGTTCCCATTTCACGATTAGTCTCCCTGGTCACTCAAGGCATAAATGCACGTGGGGCTCAGCATCTGCCTCGCTCCCTCCTCATCGAGCCCGTCATCAGGTTCTGTGGGTTTGACCGTGTAAATCTCTCCAGCATCCATCCCTCTCTGCGTCCCTCACTGCCAGCACCAAACTCTCCCTCCAGGGTCACTCACTGGCCCACCCCTCTCTGCTCTTGACCCTTTCTAATCTTTTCTTTCTATTGCAGCCAGAGTGGACTTTCTGAAATGCAAGTCAGCCTCGGGCTTAACATCTGCCAAGGTTCTTCCCATAGCTTCTAGGTCAGAGGCAAGAATACGCAGCACGGTCACCAGCCTCTGAACTGCAGCCTTTTCTTCACATCTCCACCTCAGCCGACTTCATGCTCCCCTTTCCTCCACCTCCTGGCTTTCTTTCAGCTTCTTGTATAAAATCCTATTCGCCACAGGGCCTTTGCACGTACTGTCTCAGAGCTCCTTTCACCATCCCCCCCGCCTTTCACCTAGTTAACTCTTATTAGTTATTTCTTACTCCAGGCATCTTTTCAGAACCTCCCTAAACAAAGTCACCCTCTGCCAGCTCAATACCCTCATATTTCTCTCCTTAGCCAAACTTAGAGCTGCATTTCTTACCGTTGTTTGCATGGGCACTTGATTAGGACTCGATTAGTGTGTTTTCCCACTGGACTGTAAGCACCACGTGGGCAAGGATTGTGCGTCCCCAGGGCCTACACGTGAGAGTGACTTATGTGTGAATGAATGAGTGAGCAAGTGAATGATTGATTGAGGTGGTGAGTGAATGATTGAATGACTAAACAAATGAGTGGGTGTTTGGATGAGGTCCCAGTTAGGGGGTCTTGTGCCTCGCTCAAGAAAGGATCAATGCAAGAGGGAGTTTCTTTTATTGAACGAAAGCACATGTGGTGTGTGGGGAAGGAGACTTCAGTGGGTACAGTCTGGGTTGGGGACGGGGTGAGAGGGCGGTGCGGTGAGGAGAGGGATGAGGGTGGGGATGCCCCATGGCAGTGAGGAGGCTGGAGGGGGTGGTGCCTGCCCTGGGCCCGGGGCACTTCCGACCTGACCCTTCAGCATGCCGCCCCTTTCCAGGCTCCGTTCCACTCAAGCCAGGTCTCCGTCATGATTCCCCCAAAGCCCGGGTTCCCCGGCCCCTGGCTGCGGTGTCCCTCTCACCTGTTGATGGAGCTGACACTGGGCACAGTGTCGTTGTCACAGACGCCCTCGGCCAGGAGCCGGTCTCGGATCTCCCAGGCAAACATGGTCGGGTTCTGCCGTTTGTAGTCCCCGATTTTCTCCACCACCTTGGGGGTGGCCACCTTGGGCTTCGAGCCCCCTATCACTCCAGGCCGGATGCTGCCAGTCTCGTAGTACCTACTCCAATAGAGAACCCCAAAGAAGTACCCAGTAAGCAGGTGGGGTCTTCGGGCAGGAACTTAGCCAGAGACTCTCGTTCCCTTCCGAGGCTTCTGGGGAGGAGCCGGGGGTGAATCGTGCCCCCGGGGCCGGCCTCCAACACGATGTTCCCGGCACTGCCTGTTTCCCTTGCATGGGTAGGTTTATGCGGCTGCCAAACCAGAACTCTCTTCAATAGACCTCGCCCAGGGATACCTGGCTTCTCTCTTTCCCGTCATCCCTCTGGCCAGCCTCCTGCGTCTGAGCACCTGCAAGAGCCACCTTATGGGGCACAAAACACCTCCCTTCTTCGAAAGGGCACTTTGACGAATGTGCTCTGCGGGTACATACAGGTTCCCGGTGGCGGTTTGCTCTGTCCAGCGGTTCTTGGCTGAAGCATGACTTACTGTTCTCCTTGGCCATCCTGGTTTTACCCCTCCCTCCCCAGGAAGCCAGCAGGGGTCATTGGGCCCTCTGCCCTGTCTTGCTGGTTTCACCTTTGTTCTCCATAAACCCCCTCCCCCCCTGCACCCCACCCCATACCCCCAGCCACTGGTTTCCCACCAGGTCACACAGTTTAACTTGAAGCAGCTCCTCATGGACTCTGGAAGCCCAGTGTGGCCTGGAGCCCTGGCCACGTCCAGCTCCCTTAAGCTGAGCCTATTCTCCCAGGGTCTCCACTCCCCTTCCCCGCAACCCCTCAGCAGGATAGCCTGCCTCCCCTCCTTGGGGAAACTCTGGTCTCTTCTGCCATGAAATAAAATCTGTCTCTTTAAAACTCCCTTTATGGGTTTCCCTGGTGGCGCAGTGGTTGAGGACCTGCCTGCTAATGCAGGGGACACGGGTTCGAGCCCTGGCCTGGGAGGATCCCACATGCCGCGGAGCGACTAGGCCCGTGAGCCACAACTACTGAGCCTGCGCGTCGGGAGCCTGTGCTCCGCAACAAGAGAGGCCACGACGGTGAGAGGCCCGCGCACCGCGATGAAGAGTGGCCCCCGCTCGCCGCAACTAGAGAAAGCCCTCGCACAGAAACGAAGACCCAACACAGCCAAAATAGATAAATAAATAAATAAGCTCCTACCCCCAACATCTTCTTTAAAAACAAAACAAAACAAAAAAACTCCCTTTATGTGTCACCACCCTCCGGCGCTCATCCCTTTCGTGGGATACTGCAGACCATCTTGGGAACGCCTCTCCTGACCCCAGCCTGGGACCACGCTTTTCCCTGACGACTTTGGCCGGGAAAGCAGGGCTTTCCACGTTCAGTTACAGATCAGGCTTTGGTCTCTTTGAACCAGAACTCCTCCTGAATGCACTTACAGTTTGGGTAAGGGAGACGGGTACACCAAGCTGACACAAAGCCCCGAATACCCTGCGTGTGGGCACTTCCCACCCAAAGTGGCCCTCCAGACTGGACTACGTGGCTGCGTCGGTCCAGAGCTTCGCTGCTTCTGGTCCCTCCTGAACCTTTGGGTTAGTAGTTCTTTTCTTTTCTTTTCTTTTAATTTTTTTTGCGGTACGTGGGCCTCTCACTGTTGTGGCCTCTCCCGTTGCGGAGCACAGGCTCCGGACGCGCAGGCTCAGCGGCCACGGCTCACGGGCCCAGCCGCTCCGCGGCACGTGGGATCTTCCCGGACCGGGGCACGAACCCGTGTCCCCTGCATCGGCAGGCGGACTCTCGACCACTGCGCCACCAGGGAAGCCCAGGGTTAGCAGTTCTTAACTCTGGCTGCAGGAAATTAGAATCACTCGAGGAGGGCTTAACACTATACCGAAACTTGGACTCATTCCCCGAAAGTTCTTCCTTAACTGGGGTGGGCTGGGGCCTAGACATCAATTTCTCTTTCAGATTAAAATTCCCCAGGTGACTCTACCGTGCGGCCAGGGCTGTGAACTGCTGCTCTGGAGTTAGTGTCCGTAAGTGTCACCTGGTCATCTCATAAAAATCACAGCGTCCGGGCCTGGCTCCCAGAGAGGCTGCTGTAGGCCTGGCCCGGGGCTTAGGGATCTGCATTTCCTCAAGCAACCCCGGTGCTTCTGTGGCAGATACTCTGGGAGTTACGGTTTGAGAAACAGAAACTCAGAGGTCCCTCAAGCTGGGGTTAGACCTCGGGAGTCAACTCTGATCGTGTGTCCGCTCCCCAGTGGCTCCCTTCCCTTGGTCTCAGCAGCGGGAGGGCCTTTGGGGAAGACTCTTCTGCTCTAGGAACAAAGAAGTCTATAGAAAATGGGACGTGGGGCAAAGGAGACCTCGGGGGAGGGAGAAATGAAAGGAAGGAGAAATGGACAAACGAGGAAGGAAGGGCAGGAAACCACAGAAGGGCAGCAGATGGGTGAAGCCCAGAAGCAGCACCACATCCTGTTCAGGTCCTGTTGAGGGGCCCTAGCAGGACACCCCACGAGTCCCTGAAAGGGAGGGTGGTGAGGGGTGAATTTTGTGCTTACCTGCCAAGGATCTTGCTGACACAGCCATGGCTGACTCGGAGCTGGCGGGAGATGTCGCAGGGCCTCACGCCCTGGTGGGCCAGGTCCACGATGCGCTGACGCACCACTTCGGGCAGGGGTCTGCCATTCACAAAGGCCCCTCCCAGCTGGTTCAGCCCTCCGTGGCCTGAAACACAATAGTCCGGGGGACAGTTGTCAGGGCCACCAGGCAGAGAGTCAGCCTGCGTGTGGACATTGGATGTTGAGAGCCCCTGAACTTGAACTCCCACCGTTGGGCACACCCTCTGGTGTTCCCGCTGCACCCCGTCCTGCTTCCCACCTCTGAGGAGGGCTAGCTCGGGTTGGTGGGGTGAGGGTCATGTATGATACCACAGAGGGGGGACATCCCACTTTGGGGACCTTTTGGGAGGGTCTCCTCTCAGACCCTCAGCACCTCACTCCAAATAACAACCCCAACACCTCCCTCCCTCCCTCGAGAAAGTATCTAAAGAGTTGAGGATTCAGGCTCTTCCTACTCTGATACTGAGCTGTGTGACCTCGGGGAAAATCCCCCTGTCCTCTCTGCAGCTCTGTTCCTCATCTGTAAAATGAGGGCGTAGGATGAAATCAGTGGTTTTTAAGTTTCTCATTCTTGTTCTTCTTTTGAACCGTAGGGCCAGATTTTTAAGCACAATCACGTTGAGAAACACAGACACAAAACAATAAAAGGAGAGCTTCTCTGGTTGAGCTTGGACAGAGTGGGCCCTGTTCGTGGGTTCCCGGCCTGAATGGCCCGAGCTCTGCTAGGGGCACTGAAAAGGCAAAGGCAGAGACCTCGCTGGCCCATGTTCCAGGGCTTCCAGGACTGACATGTCGGGCTGTGGGCGGTGGTGCAGAACGTGGACACGCTGTGATGTGCGCCTGTCTCGTTAGCTGCCTTCTTGACTCGGCCTCTACCCTCTGGCCTCAGCCTGTGTTTCATTCTGAGCCCATCCACCTGTTCGACACATATTTATTGAGTGCGTACTACGTGCCAAACGCTGCACCAGGCCCTGCAGATGTCCAGGTGAATAATGCAGATGTGATCCCTGCTCTGGGCTCATAGGGTTCAAGTGAGGATCTAGACCGGCCAGTGACCATACCACATGGTCACTGCTGGGACCGGGGACATGCAGGGGGTTATGGGAACCCCTGGAGGGGACCAAGCCCAGGCTCAGGGGACCATAGACGGGTTTCTGGAGAAGTCTAAGTGGAGACTGAAGATAAAGAGACGTCAGACTAGAGAAGGACATGAGGAGGAAAACTGTTCCAGGCAGTGGGAACAGCATGTGCAAAGGCTTAGAGGCAAGAAGGTGTCTGTTCGATTTATCAACATACTTAACTCTCTAAAATCCCTAGATACAGGTTGGGCTAACTTCAGGCCTGAGATCTTCCTTTTGCCAATGAGGAGACGGGGGCTTAGAGATTTTCAGTGACAATTCATGTGACTCAGCTTATATGAGGAAGAGCCAGGATCTAACCAGGGATTAAGGCTCCCATCAGAGCTGCTGCGTGAGCCCCACTCTATGTCCAGAACTGACCCCGGAAGCTTGGCACCAGCCGTGCAGTTCCACACTGGAGGTGCCACTGCCCAGGAGCCGAGGGCATCTTTTCACACCAGGGGCATGATTTGGTGATCTGGGATGGCAGAGCCCCGGAGGTGGGAGTCAGGGGGAGCGGGCAGGGCAGGAGGAAGAGCCAATGCCAGGCTTTCTGCATCAGCCCGTTAAGGGCTATTTACGGCCGAGGGTGGGATGTACCTCTGCTAGGCACACCATGCCCATTACGGCCCACTGACGTAGCACGTTCAAAACCGCCCCTGCAATGTCTCCTCAGGGGCCCAAACTGTTTTCAGCAGAGCAGTGAATATCTGTTTTTTTTGTTGTTGTTGTTGTTTTTAAAAGAGTCTATAAGCGCCTCTAGCCTGGGCACTAAGTCCAGAGGAAAAGCCCGCTGGCCAAACACCCAGCAGGAGGGACACAATGATCCATCTCCCTGGTGGAGACAATTGGGCGGCTTTGGGCACTGCTTCCATCTGTCCCGTTCTAGGCAGCTTGTCCTAGCAAGTGTGCTTCCCCCAGGGCTGGGAAGACATCCCAGATGGTCAGCGGAGGGGCCTGCATCTACTCCTGAGCCCGCTCCTCTGGCTTCTCATTGGCCACAGGCTGTTGGTGGAAAATAGCTCAGCCATTTGACACTCACTCCCTCCGTGCTGCTTTTCGGCTCTTTTGGGTCCAGACACTGAACACAAGGGGGCGCCAGACAGCCGCCCAAACAGACAAGGCCTCCCAGCTTTGTCCCCATTTTCCAGAATTTAGGCTCCCACGTGATCCACGGAGCTTAGATGTTGTGCTAGGTTCTCTATATCTAGAAACGAGGGTTCCTACAGGTGGAGTTCTTCACCCCTAGAAAGGTAATAGGTTTAAAAAAACAAACGTCATTTCTTGGTGGCATGAACTGGGAATTGTGCCTAAAAACAAATCTACCCTGTTTCTCCATTGAAGTGTGCGGGCCATCATCCTAAATCTTCCTGAAGGGCTGATCAGGATCCTTAGAAACCCAAACTCTCAGGAACCCTCCTGAAAGGTTATTTACTAGACCAGCCTGCATCCGTATGAAGGGAAAGACGTATTCATAGCTCTGGCTCCTAAACTGTGAAGTCTCTGGTGCTTTATTTGATTTTATTGGCTTCTGAGTTCTTTGTGTTACTGTGCAAAGGGCGCTGGGTCAGATTCCTGTGTTGACTCTGCCTGTTTTAATTTCTTTTTCACTAGTTTCTTTTATTCTGTAAAGTTGCTTAAATTCTTCTAAAAAATTCTTTAAATCTCCTTTTGAGGAGTAATTTCTTTTTTTCGCCAAGGCTGCGGCTATTTCTTCTTCTTAATTTGTTTATCCCTTCACGTATATTTTTTGTATCATGTCGTCTTTTTTTTTACAGTAGGTCCTTGTTAGTTATCTGTTTTTTTGTTTGTTTTTTGTTTTTTGCGGTACGCGGGCCTCTCACTGCTGTGGCCTCTCCCGCTGCGGAGCACAGGCTCGGGACACGCAGGCTCGGCCGCCATGGCTCACGGTCCCAGCCGCTCCACGGCATGCGGGATCTTCCCGGACCGGGGCACGAACCCGCGTCCCCTGCATCGGCAGGCGGACTCTCAACCACTGCGCCACCAGGGAAGCCCAGTTATCTATTTTAAATATAGCATTGTGAACATGTCCATCCCAAACTCCCAGTCTATCCCTCCCCCCCCCCCACCCCCTTCCATCCTGGTAACTATAAGTTCGTTCTCCAAGCCTAACAGAGTTCCCTGTGCTCTGCAGTAGGAACCTTGTTGCTCATCCATTCTATATGTAATAGTTTGCATCTGCTAATCCCAAACTCCCAGTCTATCCCCCCCCCCCCCCACACCCTTCCATCCTGGTAACTATAAGTTCGTTCTCCAAGTCTGTGAGTCTATTTCTGTTTTGTAAATAAGTTTATTTGTATCATTTTTTTAAGATTCCACATATAAGCGATATCATATGATATATGTCTTTCTCTCCATATATTTTTAATACAATTTTTTAAGGGTTACACTCCATTTACTTCCTGTTTTAATTTTATCATTTGAGAAATTTGGGGTTTTTTTCAACCATCGTGCTTTCATCCACTGAATGGGAGCTAAATAACACTATTGGTAGTGTCTGCCGCTGACCTAGGCCAACGGCTGGTAAAGAAAATTTCAGAGAATAACTGACTACATGTATACCTCCACCTTAGCCCCATCTTCTTAGAATAATAATTCTTACTGTTTGTATATTACAATTTTCATCTCTTTCGATCTCAACACAGATATACCAAGTACCTACCATGAATCAAAGCACTGAGGATATCACCTTGAACAAGACAAGATTTACTGTGGCTGTCGGAGAATCAGGGTGGGGGATTTGGAAAGAGCCTGCTGGCTGCAGAGGGAGACGGGACCTCTGGTTTGAGGTTTGGAGCTCAGTCCCCATCACGGAAGGGCTTTTGTCCCTCCTGTGTCTGGTGCGGGGGAGTAGACACTTTTGGGCGAGTCACCATCAAACGCCCAGAGGTGGGTGCATCCTTCCTTCCTGACCCAGGGAGGGCCCGGCCGCCCACAATGCTGACCGCCTATCCGTGTGGACAGGGTGGGCTCTGAGGCCGGAAGCCAGGAACGAGTGGGAAGCGGGGAAAGGTGTGACCCAGGAAGAGGTTTGACGCTTTCTGAGCAAAGGCCATTTGTTCAGGCCCTTTGTACGGTCTGGAGGGTGGAGGAGAAAGACGAGACAGCCCGGCCGGACCCAAGGGGGCTCTGAGTGTGAAGTCCGCACACGAGGGGATGCCAACTTGCCTGGGGACAGAGAGCGCTGAGCCTACAGCGAGGGAGCCTGCAAAACTCTGGCTGAAGCCTGCTGTCCAGAAATGTGTACTTTGGAAAAGTGACCATCTGGGGAGGTCTTAGGCCTTTCTTTGGTCATTCTTCACTCCTTACAGGGCTCAGAGGAGTAGGCAGAGTAGGAGAACAAGAGAGAGGTCATTGCCCCAAACTCTTGTTACGTGTATGGATACCCAGACCCTTGAGTTGTAGGATAATTTCCCTATGCCCCATAATCCTTTTTTTAATTCTAATTTTATTTTTCTTGGCTGCACCATGTGCACGGCATGCGGGATCTTAGTTCTCCTACCGGGGATTGAACCCGTACCCCCTGCAGTGACAGTGCAGAGTCGTAACCATTGGACCACCAGGGAAGTCCCTGTGACCCATAATCCTTTGCCCAAGTCTCAGTCACAGCACTGGCTGCACCGAACAGCATCTTGATCTGTTTCGATTCCTTTATGAGTTCTCAAGGGTAGGGGGCCCATCTTTGTCTACCTAGCACCTGTCACAAAAGTTTAATTAATGTTGCAGTAAATACACGTGGCAGAAAAATGCTTTACAAATGTGAGGGGCTATTGTGACGGTTGGTGAGTGGATTCCCCACCGCGGGACCCTCGAGTCCCATCGTTGGATACTTTCCCCTTTCCCCTTCTGTCTGATTCCTCACATCACTGCCCAGTCCGAAAGTGACAATGGTTCAATGCGTTGTGCTGTGAAAATTTCCACTTAACTACCAGGGGATTTTTGTTTCAGCCCCAAAGAATGTCAAGGT